ATAATTGGTATGAATAACAGCTATATTTAACGATTTAAATATTTCGAACTTATAGTAATTTTAGTATTATTATTTATTTAATTATTATTATTTTTTTTTTTGAAAACCCTATTGAGCAATTTGACAATTATTACTAACATCTTTACACCATAGCTTAGCAATAAAAAATGTAAAAAAAAACTTAATAGCTAAATACGTATGATTTAGACTCTTTTGTTTTTAAATTTATTTTCTATAAACCAAATCCCTTTAGGTAATCTTGAAAGTAAATAAAATAAGAACCACACCGCAATATTTATTTTTATGATTAATTGTCGATTCTACACTTTCATTACCTACTTTAACATTTCTGAAAAAAAAATACAAACAAACAACATTACAAACAATTGAAATTTGTGTTATATAAATCATTAATAAATTTAGTATAGTATATACCTAAGGATACATGTGAATGTGACTAGCAAGTATGTGACAGTAACACATTATATTGGCGTCTTAATAAATAAATACTTTTGTGAACAGATTTAATAACAGGCGTGTTTGCAATTTCAAAACCAATTAAAACAATGCTCAGACTTAATCATACCAAGTTTAAATTGTTTAAAGAGCCTAATTTATAATAGAAATAACAGAACGATAAATAAACTACCTAAGTGAATTAATTAAGAAACCGAGAAACACTGATGGAATAAAGATGGTATAATATATTTACCAGCTACCAACCAATCATCGCTAACACGTCATGAGATAAAGACTTGCCACAGCAAAAAATAAAAAATTCTACAAAAAAAAAATCTTAAGTAAATAAAATAATTTTTTTTTTTTTGTGAAAAAAACAAAGCCTTAAATATAGTGTCATTATCATCTTATTTCTGAAATAAAAGTGTAAGGAAAAACAGTTTTTAAGTTATTTAGTTATTTTAATTTAGTATAATTAAATTTGTAATTAAAGTGTTAAGTAAAAGTTTAAGTGAGTAACGCAATAAGTTCATATTAAGTATATATGAATATGAATATATGAGTGGTATGAATGTGTATAATATAAGTACAATGTACAATGTACATATTAGTACAATCATGTAATAGTCGCCTCTTATAGCAAAATTAAATTATTATATCTCGTAGAGTTGGGTCGTTTTAAATAGTTACTTAAACTTATTTAATTAAACATGATTGTACGTAAAATTAACTATCATAAGTAATTTTTTCTATGATATTATGATTTGTTCACAACCTTTAAATAACATTATGCACTGTGTCTATAGCACAAATGCACAATACATATTATTATTGTATTAATGTAATATATCTTATAAAATAAACGTTTTGAGTATGTATCCAAAAACACCCGCGTCTACTTTAATTAATTATATTACTTAATCGACGTCTTACGGTGCATAAATAACTATATATTATGTTACAAATATTACAAGATATTATTACTAAATTATGCCCATCTGTTTACAGATTTAGGAAGAATTTTTTTAAACAGAATTTATGTATTATCATTTTTATAGCCATCAAATTGTCAAAGTTAATTAAGAGGATGTTAGGGCTTGTTTTCTCTTTCTCTCTCTCTCTCTCTCTCTCTCTCTCTGGCCTGCATGTAACATAGATAAAACGTATTTACGTAGAATCATTTTTTTTTTTTCATGTTTTTGAATAATTTTAGAGTAAAATTACACTCAATGACAAAAATTATAGAGAATAATATTTTTGAGAGTAGATTATGAGTTATGACATATCAATTTCTCTAAATATTGCCTCAAAATAATTTTAAACATCATTTAAATTTATAATTTATTTTTTTTATTTTGAAAGTTGAATACTCTGTCAAATAATAATAAAATATAAAACCGATATTTTAAACCCTCAAAAATAATATATTCTATAATTTTTGTAATATGTGTTTTTACTCTGCGATTACTCAAAAATATCAAAAAACAATGATTCTGCGTAAATGCATTTTGTTCTCTTACTCGTAAACTAGAAAGAGAAAATAAACAATACACTGACATCCTCTTTAGTTGAAATTTTCAAATATTTATTGTATGAATGCTTGATCGATACTTCTTAATTTATGTAGGTAGAAGTCAGAAGAATGTAAATGTGTCACGTTAAAAATATATATTTGCTAATTGCGCCCGCTGAACTCATTTCTGCAAGTTCATCAGTTATTATTGTATTATTTATTTATACCAGATGCGGGCTAGGTCGCTGTACTACTATGCATCTGCACAGCAGATCTGTACAAAATAACTCGATATATATCATATTATTGAAATATAATTTTTACTATAAACAAACTTATAAACATAAGTATTAATTATTATATATTAGTAATTAGTATATTAGGTTCAATTCTACACAAGTTTGATTCCCTGTGTATTACTTAACATATTATATACGTCTGTTTAGGTCATACCTACTCGTTACAAATTAGTAAATTCATATTCTATTACTTTAGGCATATACAATTATTATTTAACACATTAAACATGGTACTATTTTTATGATGATTCTTCGTTGGAACAAACACTATTCCCGTCTAGAATTTCAAACGTCTTATTAACATAATAATAATAATAATAATAATGTGTAGTCTGTCAATAAATTATTTGTTGTTTGGTGAAATTGTGAGATCTGACTAGTCTGCAAATAATCACAAACGGGTAAATGAGTGAAAATATGTCTCGGTGTATAAAGTGATTAGTCACCACAGATGATAATACGTAGAACGTAGATATATTGACAAATAATTAACATAATGATGTAATAACGTAGAAAATAAAAGAATAAGAAAATTAATTTTAAATAGCCAAAGACAGCTAAAACTCAAATAAAAAGTCCAAGGTCTGGGGGATTCTTCCCTACACTTGTACGTGCTGGAGAGTTTAATCATCTACCAGATATAAATGTTAAATTCACGCGCTATTACCTTCCTCTTGATCTACGGAGGGCTCTTGAAGTCTTGTATTCGAGAATTTGATCAAGTAAACCGTACTTATAATACAATTTATATGTATAAAACATAATATTAATATGAAGTATATATAATAATCATGCACCTTATCTGACTCGTAGTTGTAAATATACTATGTTGTAGTATAGTAAGGTAACAGAAATAAAGAACTCCCTAAACACGTGAATCCAAATAAATACCTACAACACTAATTGAGCTCGTTGAAAAGTAAGGTCCGGTTGTCGCTCGCAGGGTCCAATGCTAAAAGATATTGTTAATTTTGTAAAGATGACTATGTTTCCAATAAATTAACTTTATCCTTGGCGGTAGAGATCCTTATTCAATATTTTAAGCCAGACAATAGTTTTTATGTCAAATAATTCAATTAAAAACATTAATCACGTGCATACACACATAGATACATGAGTACGTCATGAGTCATGATCATCTACTGACTACCTATACAGATATAAACTATGATTACCTATTGCTTATTGATAAATTGAATTGTATTGTGTATTTATAGTTTTTATTTGGAAAATATTTTTAAATCAAAAATGAATTTTATCGTATAAGTTTTTAATGATGTATTATTAGGTGTAATTACTTTTTTTAGCATAAACTGTAACCCTATGATTCAGAAAGACAAGTACAAAGACTGCAAGTCTCAACAGTTTTGTGTATTTAGTTTATATTATGTAGCGCTATCTATAGGTAAAGAAATGAAAATTAAACTCTATTGGTATTTTAAAAAGATATTTTGTAACTTAATACTAGTTTTTCATAAAACTAGGACAATTTACCGTACAGTTGTTTTATCAAAAAAATTGATTATTTAATAATAACTCTGAAATGCTTACTTGCCTACAAAGAATAATATGTTACAAACCGTACCTATAAGTTATAACTGACACAATTACCTAAAGAAAAAACAATTAGTAGGTTGCTGAGTAGGAACAGCACCGCAGCTTTCTTTGTTATCACACTGACATTCTACAGGGCAAGATAGTCGGTCTCTTTTTTTAAATAAACTAAATCTTATTTCAATAATTCTAAAATGATATCTTCATCAAATATCACTTCTACATTTCAACCATTTCTACAATTCAAGCCGCAAAGTTTTCAGAGGCGTAATTGCAGCATCACTCATATCCAACGTTTCAACAACGAATAAACCTACTTCTTCTTATACTTTTGTCGCTAAATAAGCTAACAACGAAACGATTCTCTCGGTATATAAAGATTCAATAATCGCATTTAATCATTTCCAATTTCATGTATTAAACCTGTTGTCAAAGCTGGAAAGTAAAAAATAATATAAGGCAAATCCAACCACGTCACTTTTGCTCTCAAACTTAAAATATGTCCTCTAATTGCATTTAACAACGTCCGAATTTCAACCTCATTTATTGCAAAATACTTCGATGTCACATCGATAAAAAATCTATTATAGTATAAGCTCATCATAACCAGATCGCCAAGCTTAAACTAAAATACGTTTTCGTATCCTCAAATGTTTCCTAAACTCAAAATTAATTTTTTCACTACACATTAAAATTAAACTTAACCTTTATAATAAATACTCTATGCGATAAGCATTTTTTATGTACTGCGTAAAAATCAAACATACATAAACCAAATACAAATGACTCAAACCAAAATGTTTCGTTTAACAACAAAAATCCTTTCTACATCTCAAATAAAACACTACACTAGCACACATATTTAAAAAATAAAAATGAATATAATATAAAAAAAAAACTGATTATCAACCCTAACACACATTACTACGATCCATTATCCGATCACATCCGAGTATGCTAGCAAAAAAAAAAAAAAAAAAAAAAATAAAATAAAAACATTTGAATATTTCATGTGCGCGGGACGGACGTCCGTGGAGGAAAGAATCAAATCGAACTCGCCGACAACTTTGATGGCCCAACCCACACGAAAGCCGTCGCGCCTATCGCATAACAACTTTAAGACTCTGCGGCCTGCAGCAGCTGTGACGTTATCACGCGCGGTGGCGGTGGAGGTGGTACCCGTTATCAGGTCGGCCGTCAGTCGCCGTCGTCTTGTAAACAACGCGAGCTACGACTGCCGAACTAGAGCAAATGAACGGGAAAAATCAGGAAATCAAGCGATGCTCATTGCCCAGCGCTACTGGCGACGACCGCTGACGACGATCGACATCACATTGCGTCCAGTTGTGACGACGACGCTTCGGTGTTGACCACGTCCGCGACGGTGGCGGTCAATGTCAATGTGACCGGCGGCGGCGACAACGACATGGAGCTGACCAAAGTGTGCCGGCTGTGCCTGTCTGCGGTCGACTGGCCCGTCAGCGTTTTTGACGAACTGGCCGACAAGATAGCCCAATGCCTGAATATCCACATATCCCGCACTGACCAGCTGCCCAAACACGTGTGCGTCAAGTGCAAAGATACCGTCAACGAGTTCTACGCGTATTATACCAACGCGGTCGAGTGCCAGAAACAGCTCGATCAGCTGGCTGACGTCCAGCAGAACATGGTAAGCCGAGCTCATGGCTGGTGCGAACCGTCAGAGTTGCCTTGCGACTGTCTGCTCACAGTCACCAGGCCAATGGTCTTGTTCATATATATTTTAACCACGATCATTAACTCTAATTGCATTAAGTTTTTGATTATTGCTCTGTTTCAACTTTCATTTTTCTCATTTAATTCGTTATTTTTTTCATCGTGTTACTTGAGTAGGTGTACAAGTGATTAAGCCCTTTGTCAACCTGATTTATTCATTCTAAACTATTGATATTTGATATTAATTGATTTTTTTTTTTTTTTAAAGGTGTGTCCATTATCTAACAATGGTCTTTGATAATTAGATAAAATTTATTTCATGAAAACAATTACATGATGTTATTAGAAACAAATTTCTCACATCAATTTATTGACAGAAAAGGTTAATTAGATTTAGGTTAACATGTTTTTAAAAGTTATCTAAAAAAATATTAGATACCCTTAAATATAGTAGGCACAGAAATATTGATAAACAAAATATATTAGGTGCATTATAGATCTGATTATAAAGTTTTATTATTTTAATCTAGTTCTAATATTAATTTATTTAGTTCTAAATATAGTTATACTATCTGACTAATAAATACTTAAATAATGATTGCACAGATCGATTATTTAGCCTACTTTTTACACACTGCTTAACTTATTGTACCTAATAACATTTTATCTTATGTATGTGTTTGTATTTTGTCAGATGTCAACTATTTGTATAAATAATTATTTACAAAATAAATACATTTTCATTTTCAATTCTTCTAAAAAAAAATTTCCATAAAATCCATAATCTACCACAGTAAATATAATTAAATATTATAATATAATAAAAAAAAAAATTAGTAAATTTCACGAAAGATATTTTAATGACAATTCGAGTATTTAATATTTACATTTAATTAATTAAAATGTCTTTATAATCAACAGGCTTCCAGTAGTTTTGAACCTGTGGTGACCATTAATTATGATCAAAATACAGAATACAAATCTGAGTACAACGAACCAGAGAGTTGGTCTGAAAGTAATCAATCAGAAATCGAAACAAAAGACACGGTGAAAATAGATCCGTAAGTTCACTCTTTAGTAATATGCTGCTTTCTAAAATTATTGATCATAATTTATAACATCAGGTATTAATGTAGTAGAAGTTGCTTGTTTGATATGCTATCTAATTAAATATGTACATTCTTAATCTCATAAACAAATAAAATTGTATTACCTGTCATAAATTCATTACATTTATTAATTTATTGTTTTATACAGCACTGAGGAAATCGATGACGACCAAAGATCAGATAGGACTAAAACACCTCGTAGGGTTAAAATAAAATTTTTCAAATGCAGAAAATGTGAAGAATCTTTTAATACTAAACACGCATTAAAAGATCATCAAAATGATGCACATCCGCATTCTGTATATAAGTGCAATTGTTGTGATAAAACATTCGACACAATGTGTGCACGGCAAAAGCACAAAAAAGAAGAACATCCGAGTGTCACTTATTCGTGCGACACATGTGATTATCGTACACCCTATAAAAGTCGAATGCAATATCACGAAAATAGACATAAAAAAGTCTACAGTGTATTCTGTGATACATGCCAAGCCGGTTTTTTTAATAAAGATGAATTAGCTACGCATGAAATTAAAAACCATGGTGCCGAGCCATACCAATGTGATCGTTGCAGCAAATTATGCACGTCAAAGACCAATTTATACAGTCATATGAAAGTACATACAACATCAGCTGAATCAGTTAGCTACCAATGCGAAACCTGTGGGAAAGCGTTTAGACGTATAGGCAGTTACAGACGACACATTCAATCACATTTAGGCCTAAAATTCGAATGCTCCTATTGTAATAAGCTACTGAGTTCAGCACACCATCTGAAACTTCATGTGCGTATACATACTGGTGAGAAAAATCACGTGTGCGAAATGTGTGGCAAAGCATTTACAGTTAGCAAGTACCTAGTTGAACATAAAAGAATACATACAGGTGAGCGACCATTCAAATGCGACTTGTGTTCTAAAGGTTTTACTCAGAAGACGTCTTTACGTATACATACCAGATGGCATACTGGAGACCGACCATATAAATGTGAAGTATGCGACGATAGATTTGTAATCAACACATTTTTGCAAAGGCACATTAAAAAACACCATCCTGACCTTGTAGAACCTGTACAACAAGACCCATGCGCTAACTCTCTTCAAACTTTATGAAGTGTTATTTTAAGGATATTATTTCACTTTTTTTTATGAAATTATTTCTCCATTGTTAATACATATATAATTAACTATATTATTGTAATACACTACTTTTAATAAATTATATAAATACAAAAAAAAAAAAAAATGCTAAGTTAAATAATTTTAATCTTATAGACTTCATTATCTTTCAACTATCTGTATTATATATATATTTTTTTTTTTTTGTAAAAGTGATTATTTATATACATCTATATATATATATATATATATAATTTAGATATTGGCAAGAGAAATAACCAATTAGATTTCATCTTTCATTTGTTAAAAATACACCCAACCACGAATAAACAAATGATGCAATAAGAATCCATTATAATTTGTTTTTTGTTTGATTGATACACATGTAATTTTTAAGAAGAAATTTTACCTTAACTTATGAATTTATGCCTATAAAATTTTTCATTTTTAAGTAAAAAATAATAGTAATTTGTGTTACTAACACATTATTATCAACTGTTATAAGATAACGATAAACAAAAAAACTTGTACAATAAGAACAACTGGCAAACAAATGTATGAACCTTTCTAAGATGTATTATAGAAATATAACTTTTAAGTTAGTGTCATTCAAAGTAACTGATTTAACTTTTATAAACATTATATTATGCACATTCCAACCTTTGTCAATGACAACTAAATAATAATACTATTCATATAGTAAAAAATTAATTCATACAAAATAACATAAAGTTTACTCCATTAAAAAATTTACATATACACATTTTAGAAAGGAATTTTTTCACAAGGGTACTAAAAAAATAATAAATAATTACTAGAAAAAATAATAATTACTAGAAAAAAATAATAATATAAGTAACATCAACAGTAATGAGAATTAAGGACAAGACTTTCAAGATTAAATTTAGCTAGTCCTTTACCTTAAAAATATTCTTTTGTTTAGATCGATAAACATAAGAAAATTATAAAATAGCAATTACTTTTTTATAGATTCTTATTTTATTATTTAAAAATAACTTCATAGTCCTGAGGAATCGGCATCATCATCAGGTAATCCTGTAATAAGATTAAAATATTATTTATGTCATCATATAAAATCAGATAATATGTACAGAAAAACTAAATACCTTGTTTCTTATAGAACAAAATATATGCATTACAATAGTCTTCTTGTCCAGGTATTGTTTTAGTGGCTGATTCGTCATTATAATAATACCATTCTTCTGACTCCACGTGTTTAGTATAAGATGTATAGTGACCCATAGAAGTACCTTAAACAACAGAAATAAATTAATAGATATATTTAATTCAAAATAAAAAATTAATATAACATACTTCCTGTATGACAAACACAAGCATACAAATCATATACTATGTCTTGTTTTATGTCCAATATCAATCCATCTAAAGGAAATACTACACTATCTTGTAATTTTATTCCCCAATTTTCATGAAAAACAAATCTAAAATGATAAAATACCTATTAAATTTATTTTTAAGCATAATTAAATAATATTTTTTTTTACCTTTTTAAGTATACAATGAGACATCTAGGATACTTGGATATAGACAATGTTTTAGTGGCACGCTGATTCTTTTTGCAGAACGGACACCACCAAGGATTATTATCATCTAATAGTTCACTATAAATCAAAACCATTTAATTAATTAATTTAATCTATACTACATACCAGGGTGGCAACATTTTTTTATACAAAAATCTATTAAGAATATAATATTTTCCCTTTTGAAAGCTATAAAGTACATAATTTTTAAGGGGGGGGGGAGGTTACTAAATATAAAATATATTTTAACAAAGAGATCAACTGTAATAGTCTGCAATTGACCATTTGGCATACCATAGTATAAAGAGTAAAGAATATTAATGTTGAATAACATGAATAACAACAATCTGTTAAAAAATTCTTATTTTAAAATATAAAACTGATGAATCAATTATAATTAATAGATAGATAAAGTTAATAAACTTGTCTATCACCACTCTAGCTGTATTAAAAAGTAATTATTCCATGTAATGAAATAGATCAAATAGATTTAACCTTAATTCAGCACTAATATATATAATTTTCTATTAAAAAAATATAATAAAATTATTACCTTTGGCAAAAAGCATTAATACAGTCATATATTGAAAGAGGTTTATTTGATCGCATTTGTTCAGTAGACCCTGGATGTAATGTAGTGTCTAGCAAATATATATCTACAAAATCTTCAAAGGTAACAGCTAGTGTATCACCGCTACGAAACTTGATTATACCATCTTTGGGAATAACACAGCCGCCACAATGTACATCCCACATGCATCTAGAGCACATGGTCCCCTGACCATCAACTAAAGATAGTGAGAACTCTTCAGTGTATGGGTGAAGTTTGGCCACTTCAACATAAAGTACTTCAGCAGGAACTTCACTTGGTAAACGAACCAATGCAGGCCGACCAATTAAATTTTTTCCATCAGCTTGTTTAAACACGATTGGAATAGTCAAACGTCGTATAGCTTGATTTGTATTACCAGCAGGTTGTTCAATTGGAATTAAATCCACCTTAGGGTCTATTCTCACTCTACAAACAGGACAGTCCATTTGATCTTTTTCTCCACTAGAATGAAAACAACTTGATTTAATGCATTCTTCACATAATACACAAGTGCAATCTTTGATATCTTTGTGGAGTACCATATCAGGTTTATACTCTAAGCATATGGTACAAATATCTCCTTGTTCAATAGTTCCAGAGTCTATATCCATTGGTTCCTAGAATAACATAGATATTTTTAAGAAATACAAATCATAACACTTAGAATTCTGTATATTTTAATGAAGACTAAATAATGCTAAAAGGTAGATCATACAACTTTAATATTATTCAATACATTAGATTTAATTTACTAACCACTTAAAAAAAAACTACATGGGTACCTATTGGCTATTTTATACTAAATAAACTAATTATATAATAAAATGTACTTACAATTTGAGTGTTTCCTTCAATTAATACTTCAGTATCACCATTCACGAGGTCCAAACTAATTTCCAACACTTCAAATGCATACAAGTCACGATTATTAGAATCAACACTTCTCACTTGATGGTCATCACTCTAGTTAAATATATTGTTTAATAATAATTACTAAATCAATTAAATAATATTATCACAAATTTAGTATTTCCCAATAAACTTACTAATATTTTTGAAATATGTCTATTAAAAACTTCGGCTACAACCAACATATCAGGGTTTTTATCTTCACCTATCAAATTTACCAACTCACTTTTAACCTTTTTAATATCATCCTGTTTATTAACAGTAATCAAGTATTTCATTGGTGGATTATGTGTAGCACTAACAAATGTTACATCTAATAAAATAAAAAATTAAGCATTAGCATATCAAATAACACTATGATAACTATACTAATCTTACACATTTGTTGTTGAGTAGCATATGGTAGAGGTACAGATAGATACATGAAAGGCTCATGCATAACAGACACATAATTACATTCAAGACAAGTAACCTAAAATAATAATGTTTAATCAAAATATAATTATAACTATTGCTTTATAATATAATTTGTTACTTACAGAACTTTCAAATTGTCCTTGAAATATTTTATTGATAATGGACTCTTGTTGAACACGTTTTTCAAGAACAGTAGATCCTATCGAATCAGCTTCAACAAGTTCTGATTTAGATATTTTATTGTCATCTAATTTTACACGCTTTAAATCCATAAGTCTTGAATCAGATGAGGAATCACAACATATTTCTCTTTTTCCATTCAACAAATCATTAATTTGTACTTTGGCTTTCAGAAGATCAGGTTCACAAGAAGATATGGTACCATCGCTTGGTGACACAAGAATGTCAGAGTCACAATTATTCACTTTCTGTGTCATGAAGTCTTGATTGAAAAGGTCACTTATATTTTGAGGTATTTCATAATCAGACGAACTAATAACAAATTCATCAACTTCACGTGGTAATAGTTTTCTGGGATTTGGAGACTTACGAGTTTTACGTGATGTCACTTTGCTGTGTTTGGCAAAATGCAACAACAGTTCATCATTTAGACTGTCTAATAAAAGAGCCAAGAATTCTTGACAATCATGCTGGCTGCAATCTCGAAACTGTGCGTATCGTTTTCCCAACACATATTTGAACTGATGTGGATTAATAACACTGTACTGTCCATGCCAAAAACGTTTAGCAAGATCAGAAAACTGTCCAATTAATGTGTCTTCAGATCCATCATTGTCAAAGCCCAAAAAATATGATACAAGACTCTCTGTAGATAAGAGAGCTTGTAAGCCAGCACTCATAAAACACGTATTACCAAGATTTCGAAGACCACAAACACCAATTTCAGCAGTTGGATCAGATAAATCAGCATCAGCGGAAAAAATTGTGCTCAACCCTAATACTGGTGATTCAGCTCTAGGAACAGTTTGAATACTATTGAACTCTTCAAAATCACTAGGACCTGGAAGTGCAATAGGAAAACTTGAGTTTGTTGAAGTAGGAAAACATGATGCTGAATCTTCACTCCTAAAAAACAGTAAAAAATTCTTTTAACTCATAGTTGTCATTTTCTGTTATACTATTCTACAAACATCTATTCCATTAATTTTGAACATAAAAATATACTTAAGTGACATTTAATCTACTAGTTTATATATAAATCAGCATCAAAATAAAAATTTATCAGTACAAGTTTTTCAATTATAAACCTAAAAGAGTTTAATTATAATATAATATTTGTTGTTGAAAAGTATAATTTGAATCAACAGGTTTTTGATGACTCACCATGAACTGTCAATAGTCATCATCTGCGATGGTTCGTTGTTGCGCAGATAAGTGTCGCTGTCTGTGATTTCAGACAGTTCGGGCAATGTTTTTGGCAGTTCTTTTTCAAGGTTTTCGGCTAAGAAAGCTGAATCACCAAAACTTTCCTTATCGTCTGCTCTCAAGTAATCGTACCGGTTACTGTGCAACGAACTCAGTATGGACGTGTCAACTTCAGAGGTTTCCATAAGTCAATCAGTCTACGTCTGGTTTATTATGAAAGATATTTTTGAAAAAAAAAGTTTTTAATCCGCAACTGTCTTCTCTCTGCTACTGAAGGCGTCGTCACCCGTCCTAGTTCGGCGCAAGTATACTTTCTCGCCTCTCGGATTATATCGGATGCGGGTCGTCGTCGTCGTCGTCGTCTGTTTCGTCCAGCAAAATATGATAGAATTTGGTCGTTAATACGTGCCAAGCTGATTATCGTCGTGTAGTTTGCTACGTTACACCATAGATGCACTCGAATAGTTCGCAGAAAAACTGACCAACGAACTTATGCGACTAAGAAATTCTGACGTGCGTTTTAACAAGTAACATTAACGTTTCGGATATCAGCAAAACGCGCGATAGCATTGCCGCCACGAAATAATTAACACCAAAACCCAGAACGGAATAAGAAATATTTACGCGATTAATCACACTGAGAGTTGTTTGTTTAAAATTCTGAATTAAGATCTCTGATCGTTCCGGTACGATTTGCGGTGAATACTAAATAGTAAATAGTAAATACTGAACAAAATCGGTGGACACTGGACGGTGATCAGTAGCTTGTTTCTTTTCCCCAAAATTTTCTTGGTTATGCGGTTTCAGAGCGGCAACACACCGGGACCGGGTTTGGTATAGACCAAGTTCACATTATCTATTATCTATTGGTAGTAAGTGCACTCATATTTAACCCATTCTATGGTATGCGCTACCTCCCACTCAACAGCATAGTAGCATCAGCTGTGGTCAGTACTCAGTAAGTTGTAACGTCCTTGTTCGATTATTAATGGGTATTGGATATTGCCATAGACATATAATAGAATAGACCGCGAACCACACATATTACATGTAGAAATTATAGAAGCCAACATATGTGCGAGTGAGAAAGACTCTAAAGAGGTTTTCTCATGGAAAAAAAAACTATTTACTCCATGGCAAAATAATGGTGATAGTGATATTATCATTTTTTTACCATAACAAATAACAATAAACAATAACAAATTGTCGATGAACATATTCTGGTTCTTACGTGAACAGTGAGTTTTTTAGTTGCCTATTGAGCCTTTTTATTTTGATCATTTTGATATAATGGTTCAAAAATGTTATAGTTGTGGTTCTGCTAAGACAGACAATGTCAAACTTCACGGGTAAATATTTTTTTATTCATAATACAGGATGATTCTTTTATCAAAAACTTAATTTTTTCTAAAAAACTTAAAAAACTAACTTTTTATTAAAAAAACTTAAAAAACTAACTTTTTTTATTAAAAAACTTAAAAAATATTAGGGAGGTTTCAATAATAATCCCACTGTAGCACAGTTTGAAGCTGCATACAAATCCATTATAATCAATGCTGAAGTTAAATGTCCATCGACTGCCAACGCTTTAGCATTAGACGACACAAGTATTCTAAGAATATCAAGCGCTCCACCAAAAAAAGAAGATGAGCAATCTGAAATGCTAGATTTGTTATGTGCTGCAGGAACTGAAATAATTGAAACAGAAGATATATTAGACATTTATGAGCACAGAAATTACCTTAATGATGTTGTAACATACATAGCAGGATTTGTTGTTTACAAAATAAAGAAGAAAATTCTATGTACAGTTTGTGAAAAATCTTTGGGAACAAAAGAATCGGGACCTGCTCTAATTGGACGTAAAAATAGAGGTGGTTTAATTATACCGAATCCAGATATCATTGAAATTTGTAAAATAGCTGAACGTGTAATTCGTGGATACCAAAGAATTGATGGGTCAAACGTTGTAAAGAGGATTACAATTGAATGTATGAGAAAGATTAATATTAATAAATATTTTATCTCATTATCAAATCATTTTCTCGAACAAGAACCCTTCAATAATCATCTCCTACAGCTGTTAAAACTAATTATGCACATTTATATTACACTAAGACTTCATCATATTAATTCATCAACAAATTCAATAGATCAAAAAATTAGAACATTCTACACAAAATTAATACTTTTTAAACATCAATAAAATATCATAAAATTAACATAAAATTAACATATTGTTTTACCTTTTTTTTTGTTATTATACCATTTGTACAAAACACATATTATAATATATTAATTGTAATTTGTAATAATTTGTATATTATATACTTTAAAATTTAAAATGTTTAAATTATAAATATATTTTTTTTAAACTTGTAAATTGTCATTGTGTCTAATTAATAATTAGTAATTTTTATATATATTATCTACATCGTGATTCCGCCTCATAATATAATTCAACTGGAAAAAAAAACAGTTTTATTAACTCATCCATGAGAAAACCTCTTATGGTTCTTTCTCTCTCGCACATATCTTGGCTTTGTAGTTCTCTTTCTATTCGCGGTCTATTCTATTATATGTCTATGGATATTGCCGATATTCACGATATTGGATAATGGATGGACATTGGGCACAGTAATATGTGTATGTGCAATAATGAATATTTGAATTTTAATAATTTTATGTTTATATTTATTGTATTTGTATGTAACTATATTGTAAACCGTATTTATAAAAATATTAAATATTTAAGTTTTTATTTCACTGATGATAAGGCTTTGCGGTACATCAACAGAATATATGTATAAGACCCAACGCAATTGATTTGAAGTTTTGCGCAATCTATTTATTATTCAATCTAATCTCAATACAACGTATTTCTTACAGTTTATAGTGTTTATACTTTATTTGCATCGTTCGATGTCCGCGACACGGGCATACCGGCCATATCTACTTTAATCTGTAGCCAGCATCTGATTGTGGACCACAATCAATTATTATCAATTTATCACCGTACTATATGTCACAGTACGTAAATCGAATAAATGGTACATGCTACAAAATGTCCGTTTGCCATCCGAACGTGGCACGTGTTCAACGTGCACATTCAGACATTGTTAATACGAATACAACAATGTTTACATTACTCATTAGGTGCTCTTAAGTTTTGAATATATATATAGATAAATCATAAGCAATATTTTATTTTTACAATAAATTATTGAATGATATACGAGTACATAATTTTTTTCTTGCAACGTTTTGCGCATCTTTATTAGTTTTGCTTATGCCATATGATATAATGGAGAAAATACATTGGCTGTTTATTGTTCAGTCTGTCGGATCGATTAAAAATGTGCTCTGCACTGCATAAAAATCCTGTGCAAGCTAATATACGTTTGTATCGTTATATAAAAAAAAAAAAATATTAGTAATATTTTTTATAGCTACAGATAAAATATAAATAATAAATATATAATTATAATAATTTTAAAATCATTAGTTACATAATTTCATTGCATATATATATATATATATATATATATATAGATAAGGCTTCTGAACATAATGTAACAAAATTGTTATTTCAAAATTCAAATCCTAATTAATTATAAATTATAAACATAAATAAGGTGAAATTAAAATTTATAAGATAATAATACAATGGATAACAAATTTATACATGTTATAGGTTTGATTAAAATATTTTAATGGGATCTAGCAATTTCTGAGAAATACTGTAATAGATCTTCAATGGAAAATTCCAATGAAATCATGGAACCAGGATAGCACCTTTGAATTAAGTCTTCAATATATTTATATTGTTGAATGAATTCTTCTTGCATAGCTCTCCAAACCACCTGAAAGAAAATGATAATAAAATATAGATCAACAAATGTTTATTTTATCAATAAAAAAACAAAATTAGATTTTTTTGGAATTGGACATACTGATTAATTAACAGTATAAAATATACTAAAGCATATATTAAAATTATATTGTAAATTCAATAACAATTAAAAATTATTACTTGTAGTAAATTTTCTTCTTCACTAAGGTGTTTTTCTACTTTTTTATACAAATGATCTAAGCCTTTTTTCACCTCTCGTCCATGGTATTCCTTAGTTACTTTCCTTAATTCTTGTTTACTGAAAGCTACTTGATAACCTACTTCTGATTCTTTAATACCTTGTGCTACCTTAGCTTGCACACCTTCAAAGAACAACTAAATATAAAACAAAGTGTTAAAAATGATTAACTATATAAATACAAAATTAACTTTTAATAGCTTAAAATGTATACTATAATCTATAAATTGATTATACTTGCATTCAGTTTTTCAAGTGGTCTACCAAAATAACGTGTTACATAAGCACTTAATGCTTCACTATATTTTTGTTTTGCATCTTTTCTGAATTGATCCAATATACCAATTTTTAATTGAGACAGCAATGCATACAAATGATGGAAATTTTCTAGACCACGAATTGACTATTAATATTAATTTAGTTACATTTTTTTTTATAGATCTTACCCATTCTGATTACTTCAGCAGGGGTCTTAGGATGTTCACTAGCAATTGAATGAATAGTTTCAAACATTACAATTAAAAGTTTAACATACCATTTATCTAAATCAGTTCGACGCTCAGTTCCTTTAAATATTTGTTCAGCTGTTTTAGCAAAATACTACAACAATAAATAAAATTATACAGCAACTTTAACATAAGATAAGTCAAATTATCAATAAAAATGACAAGTAATATTATATTTACCTCAAAGTTAGCGACAAATGGAAGTATACCACATTTAGACTTTTTAATAATTCTTACATCTTGAATTGATTTTAAGTGTGCGTGCATGAGTTTATCGTAATTTCTTTTTACATGAACTAATGCAGACCCATAAGTCATACTTAAAAAGGAGCCAGTATCATTAGCAGACATAACATGGCGACCTAATCTTACTAAAACAGCCATTGAATAACTAAAATAATATATATATATATAATATGTATTGTATTCATTCTTTATTTTAATTAAAACAAAAAAGATTTATAATCATAGTTACGTGCTATCCATTCTTTCATGATATTGAATAAATCCAATCAACTCTGGTTCTATACAAGCAAAAATTTCACCCATCATTTTTCTAACTTCTTCATTTATTTTTTTTTCAATTTTAGTCTTTGGTAAAGACGGTAATATTTCTTGGTTTGATTTTACATCTGCTCCATCCAAGGTTGTTTGGGTATTCTAAGTACAAAAGTAATAATATCACAAATTAAAGAATAACAATACGTAAAATAAAAATATAAATTATATTTTACAAATGTTTATAAATTAAATAATACTATATTTATCTATATTTGAAACATAATTCTAAAGATAGATTAAAATGTTTTAGTTTTGTCAATTTTTTTTGTAAGGTATTCTAGTTATAGTACTGTACAAAACTTAAATTTGAACAAAAATCTTGATTTATGCATTGCAATTGTTTAGTTAACAAATTTAATCAAACATCTCAAAATGTATTTAAATTTCTTTAAAATAAAAATTTCAACTTAATTTTTAATATTCATTATAAACTAAAACTAAACTAAATAAGAAATAGTATCATCAATTATATACTTTGGTAGTAGAGCAGAGTATATCCAATTGAAAAAATGAAACACAAAAATTTTGTTCAGATAAACAAATTGGTTCAAGTTCAGAAAGAACTGTTTCCAATACTTGGTCAAATCTTTGTCGTTCTTGAGCATCACTTTCTTGAGTCCAAAATTCTTTGTCTACACCTAATAACCAATCTGATGGTGGACCAGTTGACTTTCTAATATCTTCTTTGGAATTAGATAAATGACCTAAGATCAAAACCATTAAACAATACATTATTTGGATGAAATTTTATCATATTTAAAAGTTTTTCAAAGACTAAAATATCAAATTAATTTATTTTCCTAAGAATAATTTATCTAATTTAAATAAATAATTTTTATAAATATTAATTGTTTAATATATCTTTTAAATTATACTTGAAGTTAATACTTACTTAAAGAATAAAATATACTAAATAATAAGTTATATAAAAATTAAATTAAAGTCAAAAAAATTTATGGCAATCGAACTATAAAATAATAAATAATTATAGTAACTAATTTTTTTGTGAACGTAAATTAAATAAATAATTTTAAATTACCAGCATTTATACGCAATTTTGCATCTTCTAAAAATAATTTTATATCTCTTTCATAAAGTTTAGATAAAGATGAAGTATAAACTTTATTAAGTGCCATAAATGATTTTCGATCCATAGCTTTACACCAATGCATGAGTTCTGTATAAGCAGCAAGTTCACGATGCAATGAAGTATGTTTCATGATTGTCAATTCATTATTTGAGTTTCTTTTTGTTTCTCCAATATCATTTCCCTAAAAATTAAGAGTATATACTATTTTATAATATTATATATATACATTATACATATAAAAAAAATATTTACTGAAAGAATATTTTTATTTTTTTTAGTGTGTATGTTAAATATTTGTATTTTGTTTTATTTTTATTATTTGATTAATTTTTCATTAAAATGATGATTTTATTTCTTTATTGATTTGTTTAAACCATAAAATTTATAATTTTCGATTTATGTTACAAATTCTTATTGATTGAAAGGACACTCATACCTAAATGTATTATCTCCGTATAAAAAATTTACAATGTAGTAAATTTTAAATTTTAAAATAATTGTAACTTGCTTAAATATTAAAATATTTATAAAAGCCCTCTATTTAATAATTTTACCTTTAAATGTTATAATAAATCAATTCATTCTAATTTTAAGAATAACAGTAAAATTAATCATTGTGAATATAAAATTTATTATACTGTATGTTTGTAAATACAAAACAACACACGTTAGTAAAAATTTAAACTGAACTATGTGCAAAATGCCCTCTGTGTTTCAGTCACACACTTCGCATTTTAAAAAAATGCCTTGATAAAGAAACCACATTATTCACTAGGCTGAACAATATTTCACTAGGGGACAATTGAAATTCTCAAATTACTCAATCTAACAAAATAAACCATTTTAATATAATATGTCTAATTACCTATCAATGGTTTTAAAAAATATTGGAATCTATTACGCCACACTTTATACATAGTATACATAAAATATAAAACTATTT